GACAAGCTTGCGTGCAGGGGACGGACTGATCACGTTCGAGGATTTCTTGTGCGCCTTGACCTATGCCCGAAAGGAGAACATGGTGAAGACGGCCCACGAGCGTGAAGTCACGCTCAGGCAGACTTTCCAGGTGAGTAGACATCTGCGCCGTCCGTGCAGCGCGGCGCGAGGGCGTACCTGCCGTCCGATAATGCAAAAGCGGGCAACATGGAACCGAGCTAATCACATATGGTATAGCGGTTTGTTGCACCGCTCAATATTGTCTCGTCAGTTTATGACAACACATGACACTGCAGAACGAAGTTATACTTAACAGTGTATACTTAACAGTGACAATGACTGGTACTGCTCCCAGATCTTCGACCGTCAGAACTTTGGCACCATCAGCCCCAAGGACATCTGGAACGTTCTCAAAAGTCTGGGAAAGAACATCTCGCTGGAGGAAAGTAAGTCAACTTAAGTGTCACGTTCGAGCATACATGTGTGCATGTATGTACATATATATATATATATATATATATATATATATATATATATGACGGAGGGCTATAACCGAAGCAGACAAGTTTACTGTACGCCATGTATATGTATATGCTCCACAGCTGAAAGCTGTTTCTTGTTTGCTAAGCTGTTGGAAAATCTTCAGCCTTTTAGACGAATATTATCATTAGCAGGACGTGTCGCATGTCGTGGAACTAGCGTCGTGCTAGCGTGTGCGGTTGGTATCGCCATACACGTGTGACGCCGCAACAGCTGGGGATGGGGTGGAGTGAATGGGGCTAATGCAACCTTTATGAAATCATCTCAAAGAGCCTCATCGGTGTACTGCGCTGAAGTTACGCTGATTGTGACGTTCCTTGACACAGCGTTTGCGCGCCTGTTCAGAGATCACATTGTTCGACAAATGGCGGCTATGAGAGTGCCAGGCCTGGCCATTTTGGCCGACGAAATCAACGTGTTCGGATTTATTTGCTCTAGAGCTACTGCTTGGACCAATGCCTTACGGATTCGTGGCAGTTTGACAGATTGGTGGCTGTTCTTTATCCACCAGGCTCTGTTAAGTAAAGAAGTCATCAAACATGACGCGTAGAACTGCACTGACACTATTTGCGCAGGCTACCGGCGCAGGCTACAAAAGACTCTTTGTTGTCCCTTGTTTGTGAGGTGTCATGCCACGTGTGCTTGCGTCCCACTCTCCCTGATAAGCTATGTGTTGACTGTGCGTCACGCGGAAGCAGAGGCCACGGGGCACGGCATTCTTCTGCTCGCGAAGGGTTTACGATAGCGCCAGGACGGGAAATGGCAAGACACTTTAAAACGAACTTTGGTGCCACCCCTCTCTCGGTGTGGTTCACGCATACTTGATCAAAGCAGGACACCGGACGTTCGTTGTTGTCATGAATCACGATATGGCTGATCTGAGAATGCTGCGGAGCACAGGTGACATATAATGCGTTCGGATCCCAGAGAAATGCTACAAGCTGATTGGCCACTCAGGAGTCAGACCGCAGCCAAGTGTCATGCGGCAAGCACCTTTCAGAGTCCGACGTCGCAAGCATGTCCTCGGCGCCTGAATGGGTCTGCATCGTGAGTAATGTGCTGTCCGATTTCGCAAAGAACGAGTGCGTGTGCATAGCCATAACCACACATTCTGTGCGTTGCAGTCGAGGAGATCGTGGAGGAGATTGACGAGGATGGCGACAGCCGCATCTCCTACCCGGGTACGGAGGACCGGCAGCGGACGGTGGATGAGTACCGACAGCGGACTCCGCACAGTCTGCCCGGTCAACCCCCCCCCCCCCCTTACCTGGGTACCGCCGGGGAGAGCTGGGTTGCCGCCCATGACCGTTCAGATCTCAAGTCTCTCTATTTCGCGATGTGAGGCTGATTTTTAAAGGCTTTGAATAGGGTGTAATTCCTCGCAAAACATCTGAGTAAGTCTAAGTAAGCGATCACTGGTGACTTCCGCCGTCGCTAAGCGTGTTGCACCACTCAACTGTCAGGCGAAAAGCCACCAAGACCACGATTATACTACAAATATCCCTCGCCGCTGTTGGGTGACAAATTGGTTAATTTCTATCTGGGCACCCGTACTTTTGAAAGTTGCCGCAAATTGCAACCAATTGTTCGTTTCCCAATCTAGGTGCGATCATGGGAAACACTCGTCACAAAACACCCTTAATTTGCTGGGACTTTCGTTTTAACGCCCACTTGGTTATGAAAAGTTTTCAGCGCTAAACGGCCCCAATGGGATGCGAGTATCAACATATCGCAAGTAATTTCATCACGGTAGCTTACGTCCATAGCGTCAGCGGTGCCGGGTGGAGTAGTGTACCAGCAACGGCTGCTGTTCTCATCAAGCCAAGACGCAAACTGGCAATTTTGCACGCGTCTTAGATATGCTGGGGCTAGAAAAAAGCTGTTCCTGCAGTCCCAAACTTGCCGCTCGTTTCAGTAAGAATAGAAATAGAATACTGCTCTGGCAGGGCCCTATGCTTCCCCAATGACTCGTTCCACACCCAAGCAGGCACGCTCCACACTGCCACGCTTGTCTTGCCTAACGATGTGCCCCGCCGGGTTTTTGCCTCGTGTTCTACTGTGATGCAGGCGCAGCTGGGCCGCGGCTGTCGGTGAGCTGATGCCGTATTTTCGCCGACAGCAACCACATGGGTCGGGGAGCGGTAGCCGCCTTTCAAAGGGACGGTGCTAGTCTCGCGTCCTATACGATAGTGCGTCATGCCACTCGTTCGTGCTCGCCGTATATGCCCGCACAAGCCTTCTGCCACCGCCAACAATCTCCGCCGCCCGGCGGGTACCTCCAGCGGCGCGTAACGCCACTCCGACGGCCATTTCAGAGTTCAAGCAGGTTGTCCTGGCTGGCGGCGCGTAACAACACCGGCCGCTGACAGCGCCGGAACCTGCCCGGACCGGCCCACCCGCCGGACCCGAATGGCATCGACCGACAACGCTCCCACCGCCGACCTGACCGGCACTTCCCCCCCCCCCCCCCGCCTCGAGCACGCCGGCGGCCTGCCCGTTAGATGGGAATGAGCGGCTTCTCGCGCGTCAGGCGCATCATCGCTCCTCACTTGAACGGCTCGCTGCTCGGCTCCCCGATACTCTGTCAGCTTTTCGCATCGTTGTGGTGTTTAGATTACATAAGGGCACGTTACGTTCCAGCTGGAACAACGTCCGCTTCTCGAAATATACCTTAAAAAATTCACGTCGGTTTGTGTTGGAGATGTCTGGGCGAGACAATTCGAGATTTAGAGGGGAAACACAAATTACGGTCCGACGTCATAACCGCTTTCTTTCTATTAGTACACGACCAAAATAGCAGATGAAGCGCATACAGACCAATCCATTGCCCCCAGCTGGGCACTTGATAACAACGGCCTGCGCCTAACCGACACATTGACCTGATCCAGAGCTGATCAAGTCGTGCGCTGTACGCAGTCAAGACGAAGGAAAAATTATCCATTTCAAAAGCACAGCAATATGCGTTACTACACCGGGCACCAAAGATCGCGCAAAAAAGTCCTGAATGACGGAGATCAACAGAGATCCTCGAATTCACACAAGCAGCGCCATCTATGCATTTTGGAATACCAGCGCCCGCCTACGACCCGCCAACGCATTTCACTGCGCGCCAATATCTGTGGGTACGTTCAGAAATATCGTGACGCATGCATTAAGGTAAGTAGGCAATTATGCCTACACAAATAAACCTAGATATGGAGTTCGCTCGAAAGAAGTGCATACGCAAAAGCTCGTACGCGATAAGCCGTAAACAAATGCTCGTGAGGCACAAAGTCGAATGGAAAACGCTCGCACTGGATTACCAGTCCAGACAGCAGTTCGCATGGAAAAAGTTCGTGTGCTGTAGCTTCGTGAGCAGCACGGGCGTATGGGTGGAGCCCGTGGATGTACTTTACGTTATACTTTGGTAGAGAATAATGGAGAGATGCCTTAAGCCTGTGACGATGCTTGGAGAACGCTGGCTTCAGGACTGTGGACAATACTCCTCTGAAATCGACAGATCAAACAGGGCAGATCGACCACCAGGATGTCAAATTATGCACTGGTTGATCTCAAACTTCCCTGAAATTTAGTTTTCAAGGATGATCTACGGCATACAGCCGAGCCGGTGGTCCAGCCCTATCCCACGCGCAATTCAAAAACGATGCCCTCGAACAAACTTGGATCGGGTGCAGACAGGTCTCTTCCCAAAGCGGGTGCACCAAACCAGGCCAACTGCTGTATTATTACCTGGGAAATCTGATTTACTTTGTGCAAGCAATCGCTGACCGAAGTCAATGACACGCCTCTCCGTACTTTGCAAGTGATCCAACTTGTCGCGCCCCTCGGTTGGCGTCAGTGGTGAGCTTCGTTTGGTGTTTGAGCTTTGTTGGTGTTTCATCCTGCTTTTGCCTTCAGACTCCCAGTTCCCACCATCCCAGTCATCTTGTGTAACCCAAAATGACGAGCTCATCCGCTGGTTGCCAAGAGTTCTGTTCATTGTAACACCTGGCCCCTCCCACAATGACCATTCAGCGCCGTCTCTTATCCATTCTTTCCCCCATTCGATGATGTGACGGCCCCGTAATATCTTATCAAGCACCAGACCCCACAAACGAAAGCTGAACACTAGGTTTCGCGCGCGCACTAACATCAAACCAGTTTCATTGGTGAACAACACTTTTGTACCTCGGCGTACTTTTAGATATCGAAATACAGACCTTTGCCTACGTGTTTCTGCGGAACGAACGTAATCCCTGGCGCGTACTGACATCGCGCACAATTATTTGCCTTCTTCCACACGAACTTTTGAACGTACTTGCATCTTTGTTACCATATTTTAGCTGATGACCATTTTGTCATGCGATGTTCATTTATCCATGCGAATTCTCGCCATCACTAACTCTTTTTGTTGCCTAACGGATCCTAACGAACATTAGGCATACGTACTCCACCTCACGAACAGCCGTCACACGCCATTCCCTTCTCGTACTTTTGCCTATAATCTATCCGGCGCATGTCAGCGCACCCCATGGCACCATACTGAATCCTTTAATGACCTCGCTGGTGGTCTCGGAGGCCTCGGAGAGCCTGCCGCAACCGTTTGACATCTCCGAGAGCGGGAAAAAGTTGAGCGCAAGTGTCGCATTCATGCCTCATCGCATTTGCTCATTTGACTTCTCTGTTGCAGGCGGCAGCGAAATTTTCTAAATTCTGACTGTCAGGACCATTCTGCGCGCTAATGTGCCCAGACGAAGATTTCCTTTTCGCATCCATAAATACATGATAATTTGGCCTAATCGCGTTTGACGAGAAGATCAAAACAGAAGTGTCGAAGCGAATGCAGCACAGAGCCTAGTCTAGCTCAGACTACTTTTCACCTCCTGCCGCCGCTGACATCAATTTGACCGTCGCTGCGACGAACTGGTCAGTTTCTTATCCCTGACCGCACAACCACAAAATAGTACGTTCATGTCACATGATGTATTGGATTACGACCTCGGCCTCTCCTTCTTCTCCTTGTACAGGGCGAGCAAGGATACGTTTGGCTACCTTAACAATCTTGAAACGGACACTGGAAGGAAACTGGTGTCAAAATCTGTTCTCGGCGTTTGCAAACGACACTACCAATGACGTCCCTTTAACACCCAATAACCTAATCAAAACTAGTTCAATTGTTTACTAATGCAGCTACCTACTGAATTACCTGTGGTTTCACACACTGTATGCTGTACATGTACATGTACACATGTTATCACATGTACGCTAAAGTGAAGCACGACTGGGGCTATGTAGCCAAGATATAAACACACTGCACTCAACCTGACCCCGTCTTTGCCTACAGGTGTCAGATTCGCAAGCACAACTGACATTAGGGCAGGATATTGCATGACTACTTCACTAGATGATACAATTATACTGAGAAGCAGTCGACGTAACACTACACAACAATCAATGTTTCTGTTATACAAGGAAGTTTATCAAGAGATCATGTTAGCTTGGCCGACCTGTCACCTAATGGCACATCATCCCAAAATCGTTACAGGGACCAGTACGGCGCCGCCTTGTGCGCAAGAGGACCTCCTTACCGGGGATATCGCCGACGGCGTGGCCCTTCCGACCGAAGCCGGCCACCAGCACCTCGTCGTTCTCCCTCCACGTAGTTAAGGCAGCCGTCACGGGGCACGAACGCCGTGATCTTCTTGCCGTTCTTGATCAGCTGCACGCGCACACACTTACGGATGGCCGAGTTCGGCTGCTTGGCCTCCACGGCCCCGCTGCCGGTCGGGGGGTTGCGCGTCAAATGAGGCACGGCTCGGGCGCGGACTTCTCACTCAGATCGTGTCCCAAGCACGATTGTCGTCCGCAAATTACCGATGCACATTAATCAGTCACTGGTCAAGGATGTGCTACATTTGTGCACCATCTTAAATCACATGAATTTTGACTTGTTGCAATGCCGGCTTCATGCAGCACCCAGGGACACAAATGTTATCACTATTCTTCATCAATGCAGCATTTAAATATGAGCACCCACTTCCATCCACCCTCCGATCTAAAGAGTTTATAATCACAAACAATTCAAGTGAAGGCAGTTAAAGAAACTATGATTCAAGTTGGTACGACTAGCCGAGCTACATCTACCATCAGCCAAGGCCACGTGGTACCAGCCACAAATCAGACCACTACCACTTACACCTTCTCAAGGACAATGCCCTTGGCATGAGAGGCACCTCCGAAAGGGTTAGCCTTCCAGCGCGTTCCCAGGTTGGCCTTCTTGTAGTCGTTGTCGGCCCATCGCTGGACACGACGGTGCTTGACGTGCTTGCGGGCAGTGCGCAAGACCACGTGGCTTACCTGGAAGTGAAACATCAGTGATCTGGCAATCTATATGATGCAAACTACCATGAAGTATACACAGCAATCGGAACTGTGGCTGATCTGTGGTCACAAAAAACAATAGGGGTCAGCCAATACACCTGATGCTAGACTGGTGAGACTATGGTGAAGCAGCCTGGAACAGGCATTTTGTGAACAATGAAAGCCATAAATAGATACAGCTGTCTCAAGAAACATGATGCTAGTACTCCTCACACTACTTGCTCGCTGTTGTATCCATAACCTTATTTCCTTTCAACAAAAATACAGTGAACTGCAAATGCATTTGCCACATGGGTGCTCTCAAGCCAAGAACAACCACTCTAATCTGGCCATAACTGCATGGGATAACACCTCATTAGTTACCCAATGGGTTGATCCACAATTGGTAGCAACTGCCAGTGACCAGCTGGGCACAATAACTCAACTTTTGATCACATGGTCAGCTGTTTCCAAGATCAATACCATTTGAGCCTCATTTCCACCATGGTGCAGCCTCCCTACACTGCAATATACATGCCTCCCAGGCTTACTTAAATTGATGGGCCCTCTTTTCAAGCTTCAGCAGTGCAAAAAGCTATGCTTCATCAAGGATACATAAATGACCCACAGAATATATGGCAGGTCAATGAAACATGTTGGATGCCTTACTGCCAAGCATAGCTCAGGATGCTGCAGATGCAAAACTCTTATGCACCACATTAAGTAGGTGATGACCACTCCAGTTCAAAATCTCATCCACTGTTGAGATGACTCAGCCTGTATGTGTGCCGTCGGGGGGCTTTGTAACACACTCAGCTGCCGAGGCTATATGGTACCTCCTGCCTCCCACCCTAGCAGGAAGGGCAGCACAGGAGGGAATCAAACCCTACACCCGTGGTTTCCCAGATGTGCAATGGTTAACGCAAGCATTACTCCATGCACTTCTGAAAAGCCACACCACTAACTAAACCTGCAGCCCTGTTCATTTTGACTTCAGCATCTTTGAGTGAGACATACTACACCAGCACCTACAATTCTTGGGGCTTAGTTGTTCAGGGCAAACCTGCCAGAATCTCTGGGTCAGCCAATGGTACATTCTTTGAGGCCTGGTCCCTCAGCCATAGCTTGCTGCAAGTGGGCAGGACA